TCGGCGCGGTTTTCTTTGCCAACGCGTGTTTTTTTTGCCCATTTGCTACTGGAAGGTGACATGAATGTACTGACCCCTTCTTTTTTTCTCTTTTTTTTAATACCACCCTCGACAACAGATAGGAGTGATGGTAGGAGCATGCACTCCTACCTGTCTTGCAGGGGACTGCCCCTTCTTCAGTTTTGTGTGTTTCCTTCTCACCCTCAATATTATCCTTTTTTACTATTGTACTCGTTGAATTTCCGGGTTACAGTATTGTGTGTTCGCTGTGTTGATAACTTCGTTGGAAGTCTAAATCCAATGCAGCCTTGCCTTTTGCAATTTGTCAATGATGTTTCGGGTGTACTAAGTACAAAGTTGAATACAGATAGATAGATAGATGGGGAACTAGGGCGCAGTCATAAAAACAGTTTCTAAATGCATTTCAAACTGCTGTTCCGCAGTCCAGTCGGGTCGGAAGTTTACAATGCAGTGGAAAGTCCGCTTTGCAGAAAAGTCGCACCGCGGAGTTTGTAACTGCAGTTAAGTCAGGCACATTTTCGGTGTTTCCCCCCCCTCCTCCTTTCTAATCTCGGGCGTGGCTGAGGCATCTCAGGCATGGCCCAGCGTCGGCCATGCCTAGAAGAAGAAAAACGTTTTTTTTTAAATCTCGGGTGTGGCCAAGGCATCTTGGCCGTGACCTAGCCACACGACGGGATGCCTTGGGCCTTGGCCACGCCCGGGAAAAGAAAAGAAAATAAAAAAAAAGAAAGGAATTTTTTTTGAAATGCCCCTGAAGTTTGTGTTTATTTGAGGCGTGCCCCTCTGATGGCCGACATACCTTGTCGTGCCCCTCTGAGACGAATGATCTTTCCAGAAAACCCCTGGCATCGTTTGGGCCTGAAAAATGTTTCATATGCCCCTACCGGTACCAGTACCAAATTTTCAGTATGCCCCTACCGGATGGCCGTTGAGAACCAGCACAAAAGTTTCCCATGTGCCCTTATTGGTACCGTCCATCTTTCCAGTGAGCCCCTGTGGCCGTTGTTGACACTCACAGTCTGTCCCCTGGCCCCGGGAGAGATGCTACCGGGGCATATCAGAAATTTGGCGATGAGCATGCACACACACGCACACACACACACACACACACACACACACACACACACACACACACACACACACACACATACAGACCCGCGCGCGTGCATGGGCGATGACGCCAATTAGACAGCCATGGTGATGGTTAGGAGGTCGACAATCGAGAGGAGGAGAGGGAGGGGGTGACGAGGAGAAAGTTAGAGGAGGGAGGAACGAGGGAAGAGGAGGGAAGAGGAGGAACGAGGGAAGAGGAGGGAAAGGAGTAGGGAGGACAAAGACTATGATGATGACGGAGCCGACGAGGATAGAGGATGGAGGCTGGAGGAGAAGAGAGGAGAGCGATGCTCATGAATGGAGGAGGAGGGAGGAGGGCGATAAGCATGGATGGAGGAGGGAGGAGGGCGATAAGCATGTATGGAGGAGGAGGGAGGAGGGGCATGGACACACACACTCACAGACACACACACACACACACACACACACACACACACACACACACACACATATGCCGACGTGCGCAATGCTTCAGGGGATTTCATAGATCTAACTTGTGAAGTTCAACAWYTTTTAGGAGACAATAAAGTAAGAGCAGTAGCTATGAGTGCTACTGATGGTCTTATGAGAGGGATGGAAGTAATTGATATAGGAGCACCTTTGAGTGTACCTGTAGGCGATGACGCCAAGAAGATGGCCATGGTGATGAATAGGAGGTCGACAATCGAGGAGGAGGAGAGGGAGGGGTGACGAGGAGAAAGTTGGAGGAGGGAGGAACGAGGGAAGAGGAGGGGAAGAGGAGGGGAAGAGGAGGGGAAGAGGAGGGGAAGAGGAGTAGGGAGGACAAGGACTCGGACGCGGATAGAGGATGGAGGCTGGACGAGAAGAGA